TTTTTTGGGGGAGCAATATGCACCTCCATTTTTTGTTGTCAGATCCCTTGGTTTTTTGGTGACCAGGTAGCGGTTCATCGCGAGATCCTGGTAGCATATGAGTGTCTTCCACGGCACCCGCCTCCAGGCAGCGCATGGTGTCATTGACGCCAAAGCAATACTGCTGCGTATCTCGTGCAATCTGGTCAAAGAAACTCTGCAGAAGCTTCTTCTCCTGAACCAGTTTAACATTCGAAAGGGCATCCGAGGCGAGTTCGATCGCTTGGTTGAAGCCAACATCCCCGGGGTGCGCCACGTCAACGATCTTCAAAACCACCTCCTTCAGGCGCGGGTCGAAGAGGTCGGATTCAAACAGCACCTCCTTGAAGTCCGCGGAGCCAGCGAGCACAAGACCGCGGACATTAGGGCGGTCGTTCGTGATGAAATAGCCCACCGCGTTCTCCGCGACCTTGCGCACGTAGTTGTGTCGCCGCTCTTCGCGAATACGGGCAAATCGATTTTTACTCTGCCCCCCACGGCCGTGCTTCTTTGGCAACTCCACGGTGAAGGAGCCTAATTTCTCCTTCATATCGCCACACACCGTCGCGTACAAGGTACCGCTGCCGTCCATCACAATGAAACCGAACTTTTCGTCGGACTCGAGCATGCGGTGGAGCTCCTCGGTGTGGAATTTGTTATCGCAGAGGTAGAGCGAGCGGCTGACGGGTTTGAAGGGCTCAATATCCAAGGTGAGCCGCTTCTCTTTGTTGTCGACCATGAGAACGGAGCCGGAGTACAGCAGCAAACCATTCGGGGGAACCCGATTGAACTGCTTGAGCCGACCGAGCGCGGTGGTGATCGCATTCTGGACGCTCAGCCTATTTGTGTGCGACTTGATGTTGGTAGCGGTACCGTATTCATTGTTGAGCTTCGTAACCATCCCAGAGACTTGCTCCTTGGGGGTCATGTAGATGCTAATCACACTGGTACCCATCCCACGCGCTGATTCGAGCATTTGAATAAGCTTTTTGACCTTAAATCGCTCAATTGTCTTCTGAGCTTCACTCATATCCGATCCGTTTTCGTCCCCCATGCTGCTGAATGTCTCCTTTTTTATTTTGGTATCCTTCCTAAATTTTATACAGGTAATAAAAATGAATAAAGGAAATGTATATCAATATACATTCATGTGTATGTATATATATGACTATCTTTCTGAGAAGAGAAAACAAAAGAAGAGATGGTAAAGCTATTGCCATTTGATACAGAAGCGACTAAAGGAATGAGAGGTATTAACAATAATTCAGCAATGAATCCTAGAAATTCTACAGCAACAGAAAAAAGACAACCCTCTACGATTCTTTGTTTATCAGGTACAAGTGTTCTTTGGTCAATAACCAAAGGGACAGGGAGAACGATGGATTTAAGTTTAACCATTCGCTTCCTCTTTCTGACATTTATAAAAAGAAGAGGTCTTCATGCAAATCCTCAAACTACACCCCTCCATTTTATAATTTGGAATAATAAATTCCTATATATGGTAAGCTTTATCACATCGTTGGGATAGTGATTGCGGCCAAAATCTCGGCATCACACTGAATAATATAGCAAAGGAATCTCAGCCACGATTATTTAATTCAATTTCAGCTTTCAGCGCACAAAACTAACTTTCAGTACAGCCGTAACCATTGGTGTGTCGCATTGCTTCAGCAGGATACCGCTGACGGAGGGTGAATTGAAATTAGCAAGCAACGGTTTCACCCAAACCCTCATCCTTGGCCAATGGTGTGCACGATTTCCACAGGTTTCAGCGGTGATTTCAGAGCTTCTCCATAACGAAATGCAGCTTATGCATAGTTAGGATGTGTGCTTAGATGCGCACGTTTCTTCGCTTTGTGGGATTTTAAGGATTTTGGCGGGTATTTTCCTCTGAAATTTGCTTATTTGTCAACCCAAATGGCTAATATGTACATATATATTTCCATCATCCTTATAGAAAAAAGATAAAAGGAATAAAAGTAGAATTTGC